CAGGTTCAAGCCCTGGCCAGGAACATTGTGTTGTTCTTAGGCAAGACACTTTACTCTCGTCGCTTCATGCTACGGAAACTGGAGTTAAGCGCCTGCCTGAAGGGCCCTTGGAATCTTCCAGCAATGTGATAAAAGTTGTTGTAAAGAGGTCACTTACAGCCTCAGCATCACCAAACTCCTTGTGTGCTTTTATGACCATCAATCGTGTGGATAGAATGTCTGTCTCACGAAACTGACATACAAGTGTCTGCAACAACACCACAACAAAGCTGCAAATGATTAAAAGAGAAATTTCAACCAAACCTGAAAGTACAAAGTTCCACAGGGGGATTAGCGGGATTTCCGAAAATCGAAAGAAATTACCGCACTAAATTTACGTCCAACTGGGAGCAAATAATTGTACCAGGATAAGTACTATTTTAAATGACCATATCTTTTTTTGAAAGAAAGTATTTGTAAGTATGACGGACAGCAAGATTGATAAAACAGCTGCTGAGGGCCCGAAATAATTTCAGGCGAATTAAAACTCACTTTGAACTCTTTTACATCTTATGGTCTCATTTGCTGTCTTCTTCGTTATCTCACCGTCTCAACTATACAGACTAGACTAGACACCCCGTATCCCCCCTTAAGTTGGACAAAGGGGTACACTGGGCCCTCTTTGACCAATTGTTTAGAATAAAAACCGTCATTGCAAAGTGTATTTAATTTTCCAAAAAACAATTCAACCGTTAATAGAACTGAGTTACGGGAGAGCAAATATTTTCTGTTCCGCACGACCCAACTAAGCAATAAGCATTTTAAATATAAACACCATTATTGTCGCTCTATTTCTATCTTTCTAGTTTTAGTTGCCGCTCGCTTTTCCAACCCCTGCTCGCATAATCTCATGCAGCCCTCATAGGGATATTTTTCATTTGCCGCAACCAGTTTCCCCAGTCTTATTGGATTCAATATGCACTACCCTCATATCCTACACTGCACCTTTCAAAAGTTTTAAGTCAAACTAAGTAGCATTTTTTGTGCTCTTCGCAATGTTCCGTTGTCGAGTTCATCACTTTCTTAGTAACATTGATAAATTAAACGAGAGCCAGCCATTTTGTAATGTAGCGCCCCTGCTACAATTGTCACGTGCGAGGTCGTTATAACGAGATAGATCACAATCCCTGACCAATCAGAGCGCAAAAATCTCTTTCATCACCTAAGTAATTATTCTAATTTTCAAAATGTTGCACAGAGCCACAAGGGTGATATGAAAATAACACTTACTCAAGCTCATCCTCTCTATTGCTTCCTTTCTTTTGCGATGATTGGCTGCGGGATTGAGGCATGTACTGCTGTAGTTGACCCACCATGAACACAAAGAGATCTGGTGACTAAAAGTTGACCTGCAATCAATATTTAAAGCTAAGGATCCCAGTAGGAAACCATAAAACAAGTAGTGTAAGGGGGGCACTATGGTTCAAAACCAATCAGAGAAGAGGATTATGTTCCACCGTCACCATACTGGATGCTATTCCAGCCATATAATGGGTTAGTTTGCACCACGTGTTACAAAATACTCTTCTCTAATGGTCGGGCAGCACAGTGCCCCCTTATACTGTCAACTGAAAGCAAAGTCATAAGTTAAAACACTGGCCTGTCATTGAGACTACCTTCAATGTCAACTTTATTGTTTACAGTCTGGTGCGTAAACATTCAAGGAAGTGCGATTGCAATGAACAAATTGGGAAGCATATTAGTGAGTATTCCCTTAATGGTACACGTGCTTCTATGCCTTTTATGAGTAACATTTTCCTTTCTGTCTGATTAATCAACAGCTCAGATCAAGCAAATCTAGTGCTACTGCTCGTTATTCGATAAATTTGCATAGCGATGCGACATGTGTACGTGTAACATGATAGCTTTTCTGACTGTGTAAATTTTCCATTGTTGATTTATTCCTTTTTCAAGCCGAAAAGTTCTTTGTTTTACACAATGTAACACAAACGAAACTTATAGCTCTGAACAACAAAGTCGCGATTTGATTTCGTCAGCGCAAGCAGAAAAAAAAATCGTACGTGCGCGTCTGACTACGTATACCGTGCATCTGAGCATATGATTTGTGTCTGCGTTGTTAACCTATACCTGAGTTGGTGTACTGTACCTTCCCAAAGTATTTTTTAAGTTAAAACTCTTCTCTGCTGCCGTAAAAAGCTCCTGGATGAGAATAAATGTCTTCTCCATGATATGAGATTGAAGGATTTCTGTCTTCAGCTGATTAAACAAGTGCAATAACTGTGAACTGAAAAACAATATGAGAATAACATAAAGGACCCAAATCTAACTAACATTCAGCAGCCATGAGCCCTCAATTTATAATTGTTTTTTGGCTGTGGGCTGTTTGCTCCACGTAAGTCGTATTCTCTTCAAACTGGACAATGACCTGAGGTTAGACAATATAGTTGCAAGGCATTAGTTATAAAAATGTACCTGCTACCAATATTAGCAAAGTGTTTCCTGAGGGGATTTTTTACATAGACTCAAATGAAAAAGAGAACACACTTGGCCCTAAAAGAAAAGACAGAACTCAAAAGACAAATACATGTAAATAGCTAAATCAGCATCAATTGCATAAAAGGAAGATTAACAATCAACCAGTGGTTTAACCAAGTTGCATTTATTTGACCATTGTTAGTAGAGGGGGACTAGTAGAGGTCCCCCTCTACTAACTATGATTTGACAGACCTAATCTGTTCCCAAATTTTGAATTTTAGTGTGTTCGTGGGTATAGGTAATCGCATAGGGCCGAGTAAAATTAAGGATTAATATCACGTGTGTTTTCAGCAACTTCTGAAAACACAAGTGATGTTAATCCTTAATTTTACGAGGACCCATTGCAATTACTTGTGAAAGAAATTGAGGGGAAAATTACTTTACAGTAATCAGTCATAGGAAGCCCTTTAAAGTTGACAGAGAATCAATGGCCACAAACGCACGAATGAGCTGAGTGAAATATTATTTTTGCACAAAGATACCAGAGCTTTGGATAGGCTTTTGATTTTAGATATCTCTCCAGTGACGCCTGCATTACTTTCAGGCAGTCGGGCTCATATTCATCCCCGTTTTCTTTTCGTAACTCGGCATAAAACTGCGCCAGTGCTCGGTCGAGGACATCGCTTTCGTACTCTTCTAAATTTGCTTGGAAGTTTTTTTCATTCACCCTCTTTTTAAAAACGTTCTTCCAGTACTCCGTGCTTTTCCTCGTGTTTTCGTTTTCACTCGTCTTTTAATTCTTCGATATATTCCTCGTGAACTATCTCGAAACGTGACACCATTGTTAAAGAAAATATTCAGCAACAACTTTTCGATAGCATAAGCTGTTGCTAGGCAACCGAAGTGCCAATCCTGAACTAGTAATTTTGCCCTCTTCTCAAGCAAAATGAAGAAAAAAATATCCTCTGTAGTATCTGTTCCCCCGCACGCATTGCGGGCCTACGTTGTACCATGTGATTTGCATTAAAGTTTAGTTTATATCCAACATGGTGTGTTTGACGATCATACATTTTGGCGACGAGGATCACGGATTACAATCAGAAAACTAGAAGCAGAAAAGAGAAAATCAGTGTAATCTACGGGTAAGACCTCAAAGAACTTAAGCGACCGGAAATTTAGAAGAAAGAAGAAGAAGAGAACGCAAGAAAACGCCTAAGAGAACTCGCGAAGAGACCACGTGTTCGACAAGAAATCATGTTAAATCCCCCAGGTGAGGAAGGAGGCGGAACCGAAGGAGGCGGAAGCGAAGGACACGCGCCAAACCCCACCAAAGTTAGAGTACTTAGAACTGGGAAATCACTGAAGATAGAGCCATTTAAGATTCCAGAAAATCCCCTAGAGATTGGTCGGGCGTGGAGAGAATGGATTGAAGACTTCAAGGACGAAATATCGTACTTCGAGATCACAGAGATAACAGACCGTGTGAGCGCTCTGAAGATTTATCGCGGCAACGAAATAAAGAAACTCGCTCGTAATTTACCTGATCTGGAGCCAGTGGTCAAAGACGATGACTACAAGAAGCTGAAAAGAAAACTAGACAATCATTTCTTACCGAGAAAGAAGAAACACCACGCCAGATACACATTTAGCAAGCAAAGACGAACCGAAGGGGAGAGTGTTGTCACATACCCAACGCGACTGCGCGATAAATCAAAGGATTGCGACTTCGGCTAACAAACAGATGACAGAATACTGGAACACTTGATACAAACCATCAAGGATAGCGAACTCGTTAAGAGAAGCATTAAAAAGAAATGGAACCTCCATCAATTCCTTGAGGAAGCAAGCCAAAGAGAAGACATCAAGCAACAAGTGAAAGACATGAGAGAAGATTTCAAGGTCTCAAAAGTTGGATATCGGTCAGAGGACTCTCCAAAAAGCGGCATAGGGGGCCGAAGAAACTGGAAGAAGAAACCGCCGCGACCTCCCAATAAAGGAGACAGCAAGAAAGATGAGAAAGAGAAAGGCAAAAGCTGTAGCTACTGTGGGAAGACAGGAGCACATTCTCCAGGCCGAAACTGCCCAGCATACGGACAACAGTGTTTAAAGTGTGGGAAGTACAATCATTATGCATCATGTTGTAGAGCCAGTACCCAAAACCAAGAGAGACATGAAGAGACCAAGAGAGGGCGAATCAAGAAAACAACAGAGACTGAGGAGACAAGCAGTGACTCAGATGCCGATTATATATACCTTCAGGAGACAGCACAACACCTACACCGTGTGAAGAAGATAAGAACAGATTCAGATCAAGACACTGTACTGATCCGCATTGGAGACATCGATGCTTTTGTTGAACAAGATAGTGGAGCAAGCGCAAATGTGATGGACGAATACCAACTCAAGGCTCTCAAGCGCAGATCACAAGAATTAAAGAACTAAGCCCTAGTAGAAGCACACTGAAGACACCTCAGTCTGATCTAACAGTCAAAGGCGAATTCACTGCAACACTACGCAACAAGAACCGGGCTACACAGAGCAAGTTCTCAGTAATCCAAGGGAAGATGGACTCACCGCCACTCCTAAGTAAAAGCACGCTATTGGAGCTTGGAATGCTTAAAATCGAACCAGAAGAAACACTTAAAAAAACCAACGAGCTGAGAATCAAAATTGCGAAAACGCCTGACGACGGTATTGAAGCAACACTGAACGACTACAGTGACGTATTCCAAGAGATCGGTTGCTTTCGAGAAAAGAATACGGGCAAGAAAATTGAAGTCAAGCTAGCAATGGAAAGCGAAGCAAAACCGGTGGCCCAGAAACCACGCCCTGTACTTTATCACCTACAGAAACCACTTAAAGATTGGCTGGACCAGGGAGTAGAGGAGGAGATATTCGAGAAAGTCCCAGATGGAGAGGCGATTACTTGGTGTTCACCGCTAGTGGTCCAACCCAAACCCAAATTCACAGAGATGAAGAGTGAAGAGTTAGAGTTCCACATGTATAAGGCAAGCATCGACATGACAATTCCAAACCAGTCAATGAAGCGAAGCCGGCGCGTCCAATCACCAAGAGTAGAAGACTTTATCTACCGTCTACACGATTGCAAGATATTCACGAAGCTGGATCTCAGACAAAGTTACCACCAGTTAACCCTAGACCCCTCCACAAGACAAGTAGCAACATTCAGCACACCTTGGGGAAATTACAGACCCCAACGACTAGTGTTTGGAGCGAAATCATCACAAGACGTCTTCGATGAAGCTATGTTCAGAATCTTCGGGGACATACACCACTGCTAAAACCAAAGAGATGACATTCTCTTGGGGGAAGAGACGAGGCAGAACATAGAGAAGTACTGAGGACCGTCCTAAAGCGAGCGAACAACCTTTAACAGAGAAAAATGTCAGTTTGGAATGGAACAAATTGAATTCTTCGGGCATGTTTTCACCAAGGATGGACTAAAGCCATCACCTGACGACAAAGTAAGAGCAGTCAAAGAGTGTGGAGTGCCTGAGAGCAAAGAGGCAGTACGAAGTTTCCTGGGAATGGCAGGTTACCTGGACAATTATTTTCATAAAGAATTATGCGTTCATAGCAGCACCGCTATACCAACTAACCAGAAAAGAAACCAAATTCCACTGGGGTAAACAAGAAGAGGAAGCATTCGGAAAGATCCAATACAGCATCTCAAATGAGAAGACCATGACATTATGCGACCCAAGCAGACCCATAATCCTCCAAACAGAAGCAAGCTTCAATGAACGTTTAGCAGCTGCACTGCTCCAGACAGAGGCATACAACCAGTACACTTCATCAGCCGAACAATGACAGAAACCGAGAAAAGGTACAGTCAAACCGAGAAAGATGCTTTGGCAATCAAGTGGGCCAAGGAGAGAATGCGAATTTACCTACTTGGAGCACCCAGATTCAGAATCGTGACTGCCCACAAACCACTAGTACCTTTATTCGACAAGGTAAAGGCCAAAATACCGCCAAGAATAGAGAAGTGGATCATGGAAATGCAAGACATCGACTACGAATTGGTGTACGAACCAGGGAAGGATGAGGCAGGCCCCTTAGACTTCCTCTCCAAACACCCCCTACCAGAGACAGGACGTGATGAAACTGAGAAGATTATCAAATGGAATGTTAATACAGAGCACGCTGTGGTCATCACACGGATCAGAGAGGAAACCCAGAAAGACGAGATCATGCAGCGATTAACCAAGAGGATCGCTAAAGGGGACTAGGAGAAATGCAAAAGAGACAAAGACATTGAACCCTACCTACATGTGAAACAGGAGTTATCAGTTGCAGAAGGACTTATTTTCAGAGAACATTGAATCGTACTACCGCCAGCACTTCAGAGAAAAGTGGTTAAACTAGGACACAGCCTAGGACACTTAGGAAAAACTAAAACCAAGCAGATACTGAGAGAAAAGTACTAGTTCCCGCTGATGAACAGCATGATCGACACAGCTATTGACCAGTGTTATGAGTGCCAAGTAGCTACGAAAGGAGACAGAGAAGAACCAATCAAGGTGACTAGCATTCCACACTGCCCCTGGGAAACTATCCATAGACCATGGCGGACCGTACCCAGATGGACACTACAATCTCGTCCTGATTGACAAGAGAACCAGATACCCAGTGGTAGAGTCTGTACCATCAACCGACTTCCAGACCAACAAGGAGAGATTGAAGCACATCTCCGCCACCTATGGAACTCCGAGGAGAATTGAGAACGACAATGGACTCCCATTCAACTCTAAAGAGTTCAATGAATTCGCAAAGCAAGAAGGATTCCAGCACCATAGGGCGACAGCCCTTCACCCAAGAGCGAATGGAGAAGTAGAGAGATTCATGCAAAACCTAAACAAGACCGAGAAAATTACAAATCTGCAAGGCAAAAACGGTCTTGAGAGAAGAAATGCGGTTCAAGACATGCTTATTGCCTACAGATCAACACCACACCCAGCTACGGGAGTAGCACCTTACGAAGCCCTTAAGGGGACCACCGTGAGAACGAAGTTGGATTACACTGAACCTAAACCATGGAGCAATGAGAAGGATGACATCATAAACCGCAGAGATGCAGAATACAAGCAGAAAATGAAGCAACAGAGAGAAGAGAGAAAGACCAGAGAGAATAATCTGCTTCTAGGAGACTATGTGCTTATCAAGCAGCCAAGGAAGAACAAGTGGAGCACACCCTACGAACCTGTGTTCTACATCGTGTACAACATTTGTGGCTCCCAAATAACAGCTAGACGTGTGACAGATGGACGAACCATTTACCGAGATGCTAGCCAATTTAAACTAGCAAATGCAGGAATAAACACCACCAATGAAACAGAGAAGAGTGAGGAAGTGCAAACACCACAGGCAGTGCCAGATCTGAAGATCCCAGAAAAGGAGACACCACTCAGTGTGCCACCTGTCCCGCCAGATGCAATGGCAAATGCAGAGAAGCCAAAGGAACCAACCAGTGCAGAGATGATACCAGAACAACCCAATGAGCCAGAACAAGGAGTAGAGCATAACCAACCAGCGAACAGACCAGCAGTGACGAGACCCAGACGGGAGAGGTGCCAGCCTCATCATTTGAAGGACTATGTGTTATCTTAACATTTGATCTAAGTTCATCATCGGATCGAACCTGCTCGTTACGAGCTTTTGTTAGTTTGGGGGGACGTAGCATCCGTTCCCCCGCACGCATTGTGGGCCTACGTTGTATCATGTGATTTGCATTAAAGTTTAGTTTATATCCAACATGGAGTGTGTTTGACGATCATACACCCTCTTCACTGACCAATCAGCATTCAGTAATTTTGCCTACTATTTTATTAACGTATGTAATACTTACTTGTCAACTTTGTTTGATCCAGAGGGTGAAGTTGGTGTGGAACTCCTTCGACCGTGGTGGAGTGTAGATTTCTGAAGAGGGAGGCAATCAAACTTTATAATCAATTACTGCTAAAGTTATTGACATTACATGTTAGTGTATAACACAGGTGTCGTGTACTAGAGATTTCTTTCTGTGGACCTAAGTTTTGGCAACAAGATTCACATGTCCTGTCTGCTCATCACTTGAAGCTAACACCTGACTAGTGTAACACCTTTACATGGCTAGTTTTTAATTACCTCATTTTATCAAAATCCCAAGTTGAAAATCCTTCAATGACTGAGACTCTTGAAGAGAATTCAAGGCTCAACATTAACGGTAGCTAACTAACCACAGATTAGTAGAAATTCAGTTTTGGCCAGTGGTTTTTTATTTCCACTCACCAGTTTGGCTTGTAAAAAAACTGAAACAGTTGTAACATCTAAGTTGTCACTTGGCTAATAAATTGAAAAGTTAGTGTCAATCCCTGAAATTTGTTCAGCAGAAATTTGTTTCCCAGTTTTAAGAAGAATGGAAAACAAACTGTTACAAAAACCACTTTACATGTGTAAATCAAGTTCATTTTCAAAATGTGCAGAAAGGTTCATGCACTGTATTTTTCTAATGCCAACAGTATACACAAAGTCATAGGAAATACAATCTGATTAGTTCTCAGTCTTGCACATAATCTGACAAAACAACATGGCTCCACAATAACCTGGTGGCTCTGTATCTTTAATAGCTCTAAATTTCAAACTTATTGTAAGCCCATGAGACATGAAAGGTTAATTTATTATGACTACACAAATTGTGTAGTCATAATAAATTAACCTTTCATGTGTTGCTCTTTCATGCGAAGAAGCCCAAACTGCCACAATCTGTGTGGTGTATTCCGAAAACAAGGCCATGAACACAGTAAACCAGATCAAGATGGCGGTGAAAACTGTAAACTGTTTTTAATCCCCGATGAAAACCTCGTGTACAATACCAAATATGGAAAACAGGTCTCATGACACTAGCCTCTACATAGAACAGGGAACCCAAAAATAGGGAAAATCTAACAATCTGAACTGGTTGCTCACAACAGCATTTTCTGTGCTTAAACACGAAGGCGCACTATAAAAGAAGCCTTACGTCCCACTGGACATTTGTCAATCAACCGTCGTGTGATGTAGAACTCTCAGAGTCAAGTCAGCTTGAGCTACAGCTACTCCAAAGTAGTCAACAGCGGGCGCATTCCTCAAAATCATTTTATGTCTTCATCACAGTATAAAAATTTTTGAGATTTGTATTTCCTTTCTCCAATGGAAACTGTCTTTATTTGTGGAGGTAAATTTGAGATCGAAGTAGGTGGTTCGCATGTTACCTCATGCCACCATGCTGGTGGAAGTAAACAATAGATATCTCATTAGCTCCTTTTGTTCGTCTACCAGCATTTAAATTTGACCCGCACACGTCAACGGTGTGTGACAAATGAGCCTAGGTCTTCCCAGGGAAGACTTCCTTATATAGCACACCTTCGTGTTTAAGCCTGTTTTCCATATGTACTGTATAATGTACGTAGAGTTGTCATTTATGGGTTCCATCAATAAGTGCTCTCATCCCCTTCACATGTGTAATTTCCCCCCTTTATTGCACGTGGTTATTCTACTTATATAGTACAATTTTACAGATACTCAGGAATAGTAGTTTTACAGCATGCAGTTGTCACACAATGTAACTATTGTACAGCACATGGTGTGATACCGTTGTTATGGAAATCAATACACTACAATGTACATGTAGGCAAAAACCCCAGATGATTAGCAGTTTCACTGTTTTCTAACTGTCCCAAAGTTTTCAGACAAATAATTATTGAGGTTGTGGAAACTGGAGGCTCCAACACATCCCATATTTCTGTGATGATCAGCAATCATTTCTATAATTATTTGGAAACTTCAATTTTCTCTGTTAGTTAGAGAATTTAACAGTAACTTTGGCTCACTACCAGTCTTCCAGTTGCTTAGCAAATCAGTACCTTTGAATCACAGATATATGTGAATCTCCCGAAATGTCCACAAAATCTGGAAGGGTTGGGAAACAATAAAATTGCCGATCACCTTTGTTTTCCCATTTTTTTGTCTCCAGAGTTTTGCACAGTAAATGTCAGCATGTAGTTGTTAACACACATGATGCACATGCACACAGCTTACTAAAATGGAAAAAAGAAAGAACTTACCAAAATGCAATTGTTCCAGGTGCTTTTAAGATGCATATACATTGGTGATATTTCTGAGAGGATGTATAAGTCCATTTCCACCAATTCAAATTTCTTGTCAGCAGAATCATTGCCTCCATTATCAGAATTATAGTCCAACTCTTCCCCATTGTCTAGAGAGCCATTACTGCCACTTCTATAACAACCCCTCTCAGATGGACTACTAGCATCCACTGAATTTTGTCTGTTAAAGCTAGTTGATGAATGCTGGTAAGAAATTTCAAGTTCACTACTGCTAGAGCTACAATTTAATTGATCATCGTCATTGTTAGTTCTTTTCTGCTGTGAAGCCAACGGTTTCTTTCTTCGTTGCTGATCAACACTTCCTGATTTCAGTCTTGTGCTCAAGCTAGACTGCACGATCATTGATTCATGACCAGGAAGAGGTGGCGGAAGGGGTCGCCTGCCCAGAGGAGATGTAGAAACAGTTCCAATATTACTAGCTGACCCTGGATACAATTTGCTGCTGCATTCATGCCTCAGATGTTGGAGATCAGGGTCTGAGACACTTGAATGAAGACTGGTTGTCTGTACTGACAGATGCTGCGTTGTGACTGGCTGGCTCTCTACACATCCCATAGATGTTTTAGATTTAAGGTTATCTCCCATTTGGGGTGCTGAGTCCACTATTAAGACTGGAGAAGTACTGAGAATGGAAGATGATTGCATGGCTAGCTAACTTCAATGCTGAATTGTTTTCACTAGGTGGAATGGCTATTGCATGGCTTGATGCCATTTGCTTAAAAATCTTTTTGTAACCTATCAGAATGTGTTGGTTTTTGGTCTTCAAATCTCCTCTAAGAAATTCTGCAACATCATAAATCTAGAAGAAAAATGATCATGTATTAAAGAGTAATCATTTAATTTTATTTTAAAT